TTTATATAAATTATAATTAATAATAAATAAGTAAAACAATTTTGTGGATACAACATACAATGGTATTTTTAGATATGATAATTGTTGATTGTTTGTACGGTATAATTTAAAATAATTTTAAAAGTGACAGAGAAGTAATAATTTTATATTCTCATTGGAATACAAAAAAGATTGTGAAAAGTTGGACGTGCACCGCTACCTCTTTCTAATCCTGAGCTAATCTTCGTATTTTCGAATATCCTAGCTCCCACATCCTTAACTGCAGTAATCTTGTCTTTATCTTTTGGCCCCTGCAATAGCGAGACCCGGAGCGGTTACCCAACTCGCCATCCCCAAAGGCGCCCCTGCCAACTAGTCTTTAATGTCTTAGGAGGCGTCCTACCACCCTGTTGATTTCAACAGCGCTCTCTGTTCTAATACTGTCGTTCTTATTTCTAACATTTCTCATCCAGGGATCATCCGTCTAAACCACATTATGTACATCTCAAACCCTTCCAACTTTATCTTCTTCGTCCACAACTAAACGACGATATGAACATGAAATTTCCACTTTATCATCATCTCTACTTCTTATCTTAAGCCAATCCTCTTCTTTTTCGAAAACTGGAGCAATCTACATCTCCAACTATTTGCGAGCAGTACCTAATCTAACTTAGGACTATCTCTAGTCCTCGTTACTACCATTTCTGCTTGAAATATGTCTCCAATAGTCCTTTATGAATGAGAAGGTGTCCTACCAATTTATCTTCCGAAAGGTCCCCTGTTCTTCTACTGTTTCCAATAGGTTCCTCCTGATTTCTAACCTTTTTTATCAACTAAATTCTTGGCATCCTTCTACGTATAACACCTCCTGTCAAACTGTCTTTAATTTTTCTCTCCCGGAACGCCAATCGTCCACGTTTTACACCTTACTCTTTTAATAATTGTTTTTGAATTTTCTACTTCGTATAAACTCATTTTTTATAACTTTATTTTAGCTAATAAATAATGTATCATAAATAAAACATTAAATGATACATTTAACTGATTTTTCCGCTTAGTATCAATTTCGAAAGGCCAAACTTTTTTAATTGTACTTAAATGAATAAACAACAATAGCCGGTTAAAATAACACTGCTATTTTCATTTTAGAAATCTCTGCAAATGTAAAATGATCAAAGTAGATGAAGAAGAGCCTGTTGGAGGTGAGTTAAAAATACATTCTCCAGAATTGTTATGTACCCAAGTGATTTTTGATTTTCTGGTTGTTAATGCCACTTTCCTTATGCCAGTGTGATACTGAACCATAATTTTATCCTAATTCGTATTGAAAAATACCAAGCAATTTTGTTTAATAATTTAATTTATTTTCTTCTCGGTAAATTTTTTGTGTAGTTATATGTAGAAAATAAAATACATATTCTACTACTCAAACTTTTCTTAATCAATATGGAAAATTGCTGTAAGGAAATTATAATTGATGAATGTAAAAGTATGTGATAAAAAATACAACGTGCAGTTATACAACATGCTACTGAAGTGAAACTTTTTCAAACACACAAACATACCGGGATAGGGGTTAAGGAATTGATTTAATGGTATTATTTGTACACTATGCTTCGCACGGGTGCAATGCTGATAGTAAATGTACTATAGAATGTCTATATATACAACAATCATAGCTTTTTGTCATTAGACAATACAAACCGGCCGGTACCGCCGCAACCGCTATGTCCCTGCATTTTAAATCTGTAATATCTTCGAAAATATTCATTTAAATTACATGCTGTAAAGGGCCATATTGATCTATATTAAATGCACAATGTATTTAAGGTACTTAATTGGATAAGAATTAATGCTGTATTGCCTACAATCGCTTCGTAAATAAGTCATTATTTCTCATAAAAAGTAAAGGATAAAAATGGTTATTGTGGGTTATCCCTAAGAGATAGACATATACCATCGCGGACTTTTTTGTAGACCTTTTTAAGGTGTACAATACTGTAGTATATTATTTTGATCTATCTCGTAGGGTTCAGCCAGCGTTTGCAATGTAAGCGCAAAAAAATGTGTTTATTTACGACATCACATTACAAACCTCTAAAATTATCAGTGTTTCTCTACTATATTATGCATGTATTATACATATAAACCTTCCTATTGAATTACTCTATCTATTAAAAAAAAAACGCATTAAAATCCGTTGCGTAGTTTTAAAGATCTAAGCATACATAGGGACAGACAGCGGAAGAAATGCGTTGCATGATTTCGTTACATAGCAACTCGCATGAAACGAACTTACTCTACCGTGCGTAAAGAAGTTTCACTTCAAAAATGGTTTTCTAGAAGTTAGAAAAAAATATATTGTTCGGTATCGCAGTTTGTAAATGTGTAACTTTTTTAATAAATAAAAAAACAATGGGTACCTATAAAGAATTAGTTTGGCAGAAGTTACTACATTTTTTACATTTACAGTTGCTCTACTCATAACAAACATACTTCATTGAATAACAGATCTTGAGGTTCGTGAGCCAATTTTATGAAACATTTGTGATTTATTTTTATCTAAAAAATGTAGAGCAAACGACAAACAAATTTTCTCTATAAAAATGTTGTCATTTTAACATTAACTTACACAAACATTTCAAAATATTTTGATAAACAATTGTGTTTCAGTAATTTTAACTTTATGAACAATTTGTGAGTAAACCTTATGCCAAATCTGAGCAAATCTGTTCTTTGATGTTTATTTATTGCCTGCAAATGGCTTTTAATGAAAATTGTTTATATGTATTTTTTTGATGACCGCGTGATCACAAAATAAATATTAATAACGCACACGAAACCCAAAGAAGCGATCCTGGTATAAAATCCTTATTTGAAGTGAGAGAAACGCCATGGAAAATGAGAAAAAAAGAGAGAGAAAGTTGTTGTAATTTCTCATTTAATTCCGGACATTTCTTACATAATCCGTTCTCATCTTAACCTACATTTATCAGTTTCTAAAAGTTGGAAATTTTCCAGTTGTGATTCTCAGAATTTAAGTAAACAATAGGTCGATGTCCTGCTGAGGGAGAATTTAATTATTTCAATGGTTTCTTTTTATATTCGTTTGATGAAATTTAAGTTAAAGTCTGGTTGCGGAAGGCATAGCTGCGTAATATGCATTTCATTCATTCCGATTTTTACAATGTCACCTGGCACTTAGCCAAGAGCAGAATTAGATTTCCAGACCTTTTGATATACTGACTTGCTTTAATTTACCTGCGCTCAAATGCGAGGAATTTAGTAAACTTAAAAAATGCACAAGTGATGATGACTTATTAATTGCTTAATAGTAAAAAAATAAAATAATAATACACGGACAAAACTAAATTTTTATGACAACGACGAAATAGTAGCATTTATTAGGTGACTTGTAATAATAATCTCAATTTTGACATGTTTCTTTAAAAATTATTTCAAGTTTCTTAATTATTACAATTTAATTTGTAATATTAACTAAAATATCTAGTAAATTTAGTTCTGCTGGGATCTTATTTTTACAAATTCGGGTCCAAATTGTAATTTTTATTATTTTCGCTTACGAAGCAACGGGCTAGTGGGATAAATTGTAAATATCACTTTAATATTTACGTAAATTTTCGTTTTTCATTTTCTCCGTATAGCTTAACACCATGAACTTCGGAAAATTAGGAATGAAAATTCGCCTCAAAAATAATATTTGCAAATAATTGAAGACAACAATAAAACAGTAAAATTTCTACCTATATTTGTTTCCAAATTTTGTTTGTGATACAGTCAACGAAAATGAGAAATGCAATACGTAATAAAAATTAAACAAATATGATTAATATTATATTATTATTTCACAGATTAACTTTTCTAATTAATAACAATTTTAAGTTTTTAAATCTAGGTTTAATCTATTTAATTTATTATCCATAATGTTTAGTTTGTAAAGTTGTGATTTGAAATTTGTATTCACCTCTGAACAGCTTTTTGCACCAAAAATAAATACCTAGTTTTAATATTGCCAAGTATCACCACAAAGAGATCATACATATGGTGTAAATGCATTATATGCCTACATACCATTCCAATTTATTATTTAACTGCATATAAAATTTTAAATATGTATGTTATCATCACCAGAAAATTAATAAAAAATTAAAA